TTCGGAACTGGCGAACTTGCGGCGAAAAAAAAGCGAAAGGGTATGGAACAGAGTGACCTGTGTCTTGTACGGAATAACAACAAGGCAGAAGCGGAATACTAACATGCGCTGGATTCGAAGCCCTAGGGACGGAAAAGCTAAGTTCTTGATTCAGAAAATTCCCCTCCGGATTCCGGATTTCATCGTGTCCATGAATCATCAGTTTAACTCATCTTTCATTCAACTGCTTGTTCGAAAAGCCCAGGAAATCAAAAAAAAAGGGTACGCAGTGATAACCCTAAACCCTGCCAGGCTTGGGCTTCAATCTATCAAACTCAAGGCGCTTTTGAGTCCCGCCACATGCCAAGCTCTAAGCCCCAGAGGGCCTTTTATAACAGATACAAAAAGGAGCGTCATGCAAACAGATGGCAGGGGCTGGGAAAGTCCGAAGGGAGTGTGGCTCAGCCCAAACCCCCCACAACATTCCTGCCTTCTTACAGTAATTCCTCCAGGACCCCCTCCCCAAAGTAACTTTTCTTAAACTTAGTTGGGCGGCCCCTTATTACTTACAGTAATTAGAATCGTCTAGTCGTTTGGGGGGAGCAGGGGTTTATATTCAGAGCCCCCGCTTTTTTAATGAGTGGCGCTTGTAAAGTAACGCTGAGCATGTCCGTGAGTACGCCTGTGACATGCACACCGACACAGAAGATCGATACCGGGAAGCGTATACCCCAAAGCCAAAGCACCAGCCCTGACTCAACCCCAAACCTTCGATCAAACCTGCAACTGAACTGAAGACTTCCTTGAATCCCTGAAGCCTTCGAACCTTGAGAGAACAAGATCAAAGCCCCTCAAATCCTAGACCCTATAATCCTCAAACCATGAAAGCCAAACCCTAAAACCCTATCTAATTCCATAATATATCCCCATAGAGAGACACACCTACATATATATATATATACATGTACACACACAGATATATATATATATATGAATATATCCGTATATAGTATATGCCCCTTATGAGGCCTTAACCCCTGAGCCCAGGAATCCGCCCTCGGCTGCCGCACGGGAACCCGAGACTGGGTTGCTGTTAAGGAACTTACATTAAGTTACCATAATGGGTATATATATATATATAGTAAATAATAGGGTTTCCCCAATATAGTAACTTAATTTAAGTTCCCTAAATCCCTACAGTTTCCATTTCATTTTCCATTTTCTTTTCCATTTGATTCTCCATTATAGGGGGATAATATAGTAACTTAATTTAAGTTCCTTAACAGCAACCCAGGAGAAGGTTGAGAAGGCCACGGCGCCCGTGGCTGCTGCGCCAACTCTGGGCTCCGGGCTTTCCTTCTACGGGAAGCTTGGCTCTTTGAGGGTTTAGGGTTTGAGGTTTAAGGTCTAAGGTTTATAGGGTTTAAGGTCTAGGGTTTAGGGTTTAAGGTCTAGGGCTTAGGGTTTAAGGTTTAAGGTCTAGGGTTTAGGGTTTAAGGTTTATGGGTGAGGGTTTAGGGTGATCATATGGCTGTAGTTTGAACTCCATAAAGGCGGTTATAAATGGGATTGTACAGGCGGTTACTAGGGTTATGAAAGGGGATACTAAAGCTGATACAGGGATTATATGGCTGCATAGGGGTCATATGGGGAACACATAGGGACTACATTATGGTTGCTTAGGGATTCTACAGGAAGCATAGCTGCTTGCTAAGCTCTTGGACACTGAGGGTTTAGCTGGAACCTGCAATGTAGTTAGTTCCCTTTTAGGGTTTTTATGGTTTTTGTGAGGGCTACCAAAAAGGTACTACGTTGTAGTTACTTTTTGGGGTTTGGTAAGGCTTTTGGTTGGGATTCTTATTGGGACTGCCGAAAAGGTACTACATGGAGGGTCTAGGTAGGGAATTGGGATGAGGACAGGGTTGCGGCAATAGGGTTTGGGGCCTTTAGAGATTAGGACAGGGTTTAGGGATGAGGGATTAGGACCAGCTGTAGTTAGGTATTAGGGATTAGGACAGGGTCTAGGGATGGGTCTAATTAGGAGTTAGGTGTTGGACCCCCATGAATAGAGAATCAAGTGAAACATGGAAAGCAAGATGGAAACTGGGGTTATGCTCGTTACAATTTCCCAAAATTAAGACTTCCTTTTCGGGATGCCCATGATAAGGACCATAGCTTCGGGGTGGTCTACAATGGGTAGGGGGGGGCTATTTAAGATAATGACAATCTTCGGGCTTTTTTTAGAAATAGCGTGGCCCAATGTAAACCCTCCTCAAGTTATCCTGATCCTTTTTTTACGGGGACTCTAGAGACCCCCAACTTTAGCAACCCCCTACTTCGGTGTAGGATGTGTAGGGCTGGGGTCGGGTTTGAGGGTTTTGCAGGGGATTTCTCGTTCAGGAAGCAGGGCACAGGGCTGAGTTTAGTGCTTAGCGTTCAGAATGCAGGAAGCTTTGCACGGCTTTTCCCATTTGGCCTAAGGTTTAGCAGTGTTTAGGGTTTATTCATGATTCAGGTCATGTCTATCTCAGAACTCATGTTTCAATGATGCGTTTGGTTGAGCGCAACGCAATGGTGAATATGATGACAAATGGCTTCGATTGTGGCTGTTCGTAGAAGGGGTCTCTGCTAGCTTTCAACAGCCAGTCTGGAAACTGGGTGGCCCGAATCAACTAAAAAGATCGATCTGTAGAAGCCTGGTCAAATGCAGCAAGCTCCCACATGAACCCTGACAGTTTTGGCCTCCTGTAACCGAGGAAGGGCCCGCAGCTGTCCAGGCTGGGCATTGTTTAGGGCTTAGTTCAGTTGTGCTCTGTGGGGAAGATTTTGAGTTTGCGGTCTAGCTGCTCGGAGTTACTCCTTACCCGCTGGCCGACTCCCTCAACCTCGAACGCAGAAGCGGGACTCCGGATCCCCCTAGCCTAATCCGCTTTCCTACTTGGAGAGTCAAGGGGTTTTTGTAAGCAGGTTTGCAATGGGATAATTGGGATCACTACATGGTTCTGTGAATATACATATATATAGAGCTAAGTCCCCTGACCCTTCAAGTAGTGATTATAACAAACCCCGCCGCCATTCGGTGATGGGGAGAGGAGGAATCATTGAAGGGGGGTTTGGAGGAAAATTGTTGTGCAAACGGGAACCCCGTGAACCCGTCCAGGTTCAGCCCGCCAGAGCGGCCCAAGCCCGCGCGGGAGCGGCCGGAGCGTGTCGAGCGAGCTGTTGAAGACTTAGTTACTGGGCTCAAAGGGGGCTTCTGAAGCGTGATAGGGTTTGGGGTTTCTGGCTGCGCGCTAGCCCAGCTGCCAAAAGGGTTTAGGGTGTCTAAGAAGTAAGGTTGCGCTATTGGTGCGCGGCAGCACGTCTCTGAAAAAGAAGACAACTACTCGTCCAGGGGATTCGAGGATCTCCATTCTACAGTGGTTGATGAGCAGATCAGGAAGAGTGGCCTTCCAATCACACAGTGGGCCCTAAACCCTAAACAGCGTGCACCTGGTTGAGGGAGGCCTTCACATGAATCTTTTGTAGTCTTGAGTCGTCTCGTGGCAACATGGACGTTTGCAGACGTGGGTGCCTATTTAAGCTGCAACAGGGCAATGTTCCTGACCAATGCCTGAACCCCATGTCCTCAGAAAGACCAGTACCCCTCAATTAAGGAAGCACACACAACACGATATCAGAATCCCTTACAGGGTTTATAGTGTTTGGGGCAGTTTAGGGACCCCAAGCCCACTCATTAACAGTTGGATAAAATGAATGCTAGGATGTATTTAATGACCCCTATTATGGACTGCTAATGGATGAGAGCAGACCCTAAACTCTAAACCCAAAACCCTAAAACCAAAACCCCAAACCTCAAACCCTAAACCCCGAACCCTAAGCCCTGTATATAGATAGATAAATAGATAGATAGATAGTCCTTCGTTAAGGGGTACCTGGGTCCGCATCCGAGGCGGAGCAGGTCCAGGCTGGACGAAATGTCTATGTGGCCTGGCAAGTTCAGTAGGGCTTAGCTTAGCGTTTAGGAAGATACCCAGGGTTTAGGGTTTTAAGGGTTTTTAGGGTTCAGGGTTTAGGGTTTTCAGGGTTTAGGGTTTAGGGTTTTTAGGGTTCAGGGTTTAGGGTTTTAGGGTTTAGGGTTATGGGTTTGTGGGTATTGTTGTTTGCGTTTGTAGAGGACAGAATCGTAAAGAACCAAATGGACAAGCAAATGGAACATGCAATGCAAACTTGGGTCTGCAAGTACAAGAAAGTGGGTCTTGAAGGCTGTAGTGCAGGGAAAGGGCCAGAAAATGGAAGCTGGCATCAGGTTTGGGGCTCAGTGGTCGTTAGTGGCCAACGACTGAACAGTGAAAATGGAGGTTACCATTGGAGGGTTCAGAGTTAGGGTAGGGAGTGCGAGTCTGCGAGTCAAATGGATATGCAAGTGCAAAATGAAATGCAAGCCGGGTTTCATGGGCATGTAAACGGTCCAAGGTCTAGATTTAGTTGGCTGGTTGTTAGAAGGGAAGGCAAGAATTGAACTTACATAGAATGCAAGCCGCAATTCAGTGTTGAGGGTTTAGGGAAAGGAAAATGGACACCACTACAGATTGGGGGTGGTATGGTGCTTACCGTAGGGATCCATTCCTCCATTCACTAACGACCAGTAAGTTTTTATGTCTCCAGAAGCAAAGAGAGAGGGTTCTATCAGCCCTTCCAAAGCTTTACAAGGCTTTGGGGAAGACAGCTGACAAAGCGTAGTTTAGAGGTGTACCTGCGCGGAGAGTCGCATGCCTCGGTTACTGCTCTCACCCAGTGACATTTAGAGAACACTTACATTGTACTTCTATACCGTTCCTGATATCACCTCTATTGAAAGGCTGCGAGTGGGTGCGGCCAGCATCCAACACATGCCATAGTCTGCAGCAGCATCAGTTAGCCTTCGCAGTCTTGACACGGATGTCTTCAGCGCTAAAGAGGCCTCACAGCATTGCATCCGGCTCTTATGCTCGTCAGTTGCGTGGCGCAAAGAGCTGCAGGCAGGGAGAGAGAGGGACACAACGAAAGCTCAGGTGATGCCAAAGAGGCCTCCCAGGACAAACGAGTGCTACGCCTTGGACAAAGATCTGGCGGCCTCTGCAACCTCGAGCCAAGCCTTGGACGTGGCGCTGGCGAGTGCAGAGGTCATGGATGCCCCGAACTGGGCCAACTTGTGCCTGGTCTGCCGTTACCCTACAAATATGTATATAGAGTTTATATAGGAATTAAATAGGTTGTATAAATAAAGCCCTAGTTAGCGCAAAGGCAAATATAATCGATAATGGAAAGGGACCAGACGGGGGTTTACATGGAACCATATACTGCCCCAAAGCCTATACTATAAATCCTCCCACGGTACCTCATACATGGGTACTTGGATTTTCTGGGATCGACAAGACGTTCAGCGTTGCGTGATGTAGCCCGTAGAATAGCATGAAAGTTCAGCAAAATTCTGCAACCCTTCAGGTGAACACAGGTGGACCTTTTGAAGACGAGACTTGCTAGTTGTTGGTCGGGAATTAGAGGATTCAATCCGTCTATACGCACCATATAAAAATCCCCATATTCAATCCATACTCACCACCAGTAAGCACAGGCAGAATTCTGAGCACCGGGTCGCCAGGTGTCAGTCTTAACTGTTCCCAGGTCCCCGGCCCAAAGCTCCAAGCGCTTGCAGGAACCAAGAACCCTGAACCCAGACATTCTAGGGCTTGAGTAATATCCGACATCATTTTGAGGTCTTATTTGAGGTACCGTAAAACTCTAAGAAGTTTCTCAAACACTAAACCCTAAATCCTGAACCCTAAACCGTAGTAGAGTGGAGGTTCTACGCCTTGGCCCACTTCAAGAAAAAGGGGGACCGGACCACGACGCACGCAACGCTGCGCGGGGACCCGCGCTGGGCTCGAAGCTGCCAGAGACTGCGGTCATGCCTCGCCGACCTCACGGCTCCTAGCTTAAGAAGGGTTATATAGAGTTATATAGGGTTGTATCAGGTTATATAGAGTTATATAGGATTAGGGGTTAGGTTTTCCCAAAAGTAGGGATACCCTTTTGTGGGTCCCAATAATCAGGACTTGAACATTTTGGGGTCTACATTGGGGTCCCTTTGTAGGGAAATTACCAAGTCTGCCAAAGTATAGCGGTATGTAGTAAACAATAGAATTTCCTAATTATAGTAACTTAATGATTTAATTTCCTTTTAACAGCAAACCAGAATCATTGCCTGCTGCTCTTATTGTTTCCAAGCATTATGCAGTCCTATCAGATAACTCTGTGAAGTGCTCCTAGGCTGTTGAAGGAGGGTAGTAGTTAGCACTAGATGGTCATAAAGTAATCAAGTTTGTAGCGCATCCCGCGCCCGAAGCCCTGAAGAAAAAGCCTCGTACGCAGAAAAAAATCGCACATGCATACATGTCCTGTATCATTAAAGGTTCAGATTCCTACGTGGTGCTTAACAGGAGGGAAATGCATCTCTGCAGTTCTAGGAGGATGCCATTCCCTATTCCCGACAAGGCACTGGAGAGATGAAACAAGAGTCTCACATGTCAGATAATCCATCTACTCTCGAGTATATCGTGAGCACCCACTATTGGGGACCATATACCCTAAACCCTATATGCCCCTATTAAACCCTAAACCCTATATACCTCTATACAAGGGTACAAGAAGGGTTCTGGGCCTCACAGTATCCCAAGCATGGCTTAGGCTCGGGATGCCGCCAACGTCATCTGGTCCTTGGCAACACTGGATGCCAAACAGGAGGCCCTGTTTCTGGGTTGCTGTTGTGGAATTGATTTAAGTTCTTACGGGGTTATAGTAAACAATAGGGTTCCCTTGCTATAGTAACTTAGTTGAAGTTCCTAAACGGCAGCCCAGGTTTCTGGAAACGGCGGATGCCTTGTGCAACGGTGGAAAGCTGTCGGTATGTGACCCTGTAAGTATTGCCAAGACTGCTTGGGCCTTAACAGGTATCCCCAACAGAGATCGACGGTTGGACCTTTTCGGCAAGCTGGCTGTGCCTGTGGTTCTGCGTGCGGACACCTTTCCCCTGGGATCCCTTACCATGATTTGCTACGCTTTCGCGAAGGCGGACTTTCGTGAGGGGGATGCCTACGAGGCTTTGTCAGCAGCCTTGACGTGCCACATGGATGAAGAGCTTCGCCCCATTGATGTATGCAACATCATTTGGTCCTTCTGCACTGTGGGCTATCGGGATGACGTTCTCTTCGCCAAAATCTGCGAAATGTATTTAGTAAAGGAGGCGGTGGTGAGCGAATTCAACCCGCAGGATTTGACCAACACCACATGGGGCTTCTGCAAGGTAGGCTTCGTGCACAAGCCGGCCATGGACGTGCTGGTAAAAGTGAGCCACCAGATTTCCAAGTAGAAGCGATTTTTGCATAGATCTTTGGCTCTAGGTCTTCCGGCAAAGATAAGGAAAACAAGTCAAACTCAAATGCAGCCAGATCTACAAAGTAAACGGCCGTTATTGGAGATCTGTCAGGCTACAACCAACGCTACACCTTTGAGCCGATCCACTATGCCAACCTCCTCTACTCATTTGCCATGCTGCGCATGCAGGGACCGGAAGGGTTTCTTGGGAGTTAGGTGAATAGTAATTTTGCAGGCCTCGTTTTTGGACATTTTGCAGGGAACTAGAGGCCGCCTCATGGATATCATGGCCTTGTCGTAGATCTGCCCCCCCCAAAGGCCCGGCCCGAGTGCACGCATTAGCACAGGAAGCAGCAGGCAATTAATAGTCTCCGTTCCACAACCCTCAAGATGCACATGCTCTGTCATGCTTGTGTACTGCTGCGTTGAAGCATCATATCATCGTATACCATGGGCCAGTAAGGCCACATGTAATCTTATGGCCAGTGGTGTGCCGCTATGCCTAATTACAGGTAATGGTGCTAAAGGAACAAGTTTCCCGAAACAACACTTTTTCAATAAGTTTCCGCAACAAGTAAGGCTTCTTGCAGCGATAGCCGATGTTGCGTCCGAGCGCGTCCAGAAGTTCGACGGCGGAAACTTGGCCATCGCGGGCTGGGCGCTTGCAACGTTGGGCATGGGCCAACACAGGCGTGGAGGTTTTGTCGGGCAAAGTAGAGAAAATCGGTTAAAACCAGACTATGGGGTGTTGCCGGTGCCGGCGGCGGTGGCGGCGGCCGCGGCACCTGCAGCCTGCAGCCTGCAGCAGCCAAACTACCGGTTGTAGTAGGCTCTGAGAAGGAGACCCCTAACCCTACACTGAGGGGCTCAAATCCAAAGCTCCAAACCCTCGACCCTAATCCCCGATTTCTCAAGGCCTTCAAGCCTTAAGCCTCAATCCCCAAACCCTTAACCCCGAAATCCTCAACCTCTGAACCCTTAAATCCCAATCCGCAATCTCTAAAAGCGAATCAGACCCTACTAGGCTGCTAGACTTGGCCCTTGACCGGGCAACCTGCCCCGAAATCTGCGCAACGCTGGGCAGCCGTGCGCTGTCGATGATGACCCTGGCCTGCCTTCGCACGCACCGCCCGGAGCTTTGTGGGGCTTTTACAGCATGTAGGGCTTGGGGATATACAGGGGTTATATAGTGGTGTAGACGGATATACATACATGCATATGTGTATGTGTATATATATAGGGATAGATTATTCAAATGATGGAGGATCAAATGGAAAACCACATTAAAATTGTGATTGTATAGGGTTGTAGGAAGGCTTTAAGTGGGTCCCCAAGACGCCCAGATAGCCCAGACCCTCTAACAAGCAACTGATTGCCCTTTCAGCTTTCCCTTCCCAGGGCTTTTGTTCGAGAATGCAACTATCGCTTTATAGCGACTGTTGGTGCAAACCCCGTAGCTCATACGACATCAGACTCCACACTACGAGCTCCCTGACCACTGCCAAACGACTTACATGATTGGCAGGCATGGCAAGCAGGCCTAAACCCTAAGCCCAAACCGCATTGGTAGAACAACTCGACGTAGAACTGCCTACCTTGGGGCTTAGAGGTTGATTTTAATTTAACCCCCAGCTGTTACTGTACGGGGGGCCGATCCTAAGCAATTCTTGCAGTTACAGAATTAAGGTTGAAACTGGTCACCAAAGGCTAGCAAATCAAGCTCAAATAATGAAGAAAGACAGCTTTATAGCCGCTATCCAATATCTAAACCCCAAACCCTAAACCCTAAATCCTAAACAATCACTTTTATGTTTATCTCAAAAAAGGAACCAGTCTACTTGCCGGTGCTTAGGAGGGAATAACGGAATATAACCCCTACATACCATATTCCCTTTTCCCCTACTAACACCCAGTAAGATATTGAACCAGTTTAGATTGGGGTGTGTGTGGCTAGAGCCTAAACCGCGTGGCTTCTAGGAGAAGATGGAGCGACTTCTGGATGCCACACGACAAGCAGGTCTTGGCACCGGGGCCTTCATTACTTTTACGGCTTAGGGATTGGGGGCCAGGGTTTAGGGATTAGAGTTTGGGGTTAGGAGTTTAGAGATCAGGGTTTCGGGATTAGGTTTCAGGGTTAAGGGACACAGGAAGTAAGGATTCCAGGGTTTAGGCTCCCCACCATGGAGAACAGATGGAAAAGAAAATTGGAATATGAAATTGCAACTGGGGTTATGTAGTAGTTTCTATAGGGATTAGATGAAGTAGGGTTGTTGTTATTTGCGTGAGGGTCTATAGGATTCCTCACATATTGGTGAGTGCATGTACTGGTGGTCCATTTGTTTGGGGAGACCATTGCCATAAAGGGTTAGGGTTTAGGGTTGCAGGGGTCTACGGTGGTATATATGGATAAATCGGTTGTAGGGCCTAATGGCAGAGAATCGCATGGAAAAGAACACGGATAATGACATAGAAACTGGACTTATGTAGGGAATAAGATGCGTGTATCTTAGTATTTGCGATAGGTAGCCTTCAACTTTTGGGCGAAGGACGTCAGCAACTGGGTTACTGCCGGAGGAATCACCTTTTCGTTTTTTGTGGATTATAGTCCCCTTAGGTAGGTAGAATATGGCTTTGGGTATATTATAATAAGATCCCCATATACCGCATATTCTATCCACTTAAGGGTGACCATAAAACCTAAACCGAAACCCTATCTACTTAAGGGGGACTATATGAGCTTTTGGGTTTAGGACGCTCATGGCTTGCGCCGGGATGCTACCCATTAGGTTCGCTTGTGGAACCTGGCCTTCGGCTTTGCAGCCCTCAGACCCCAAAAGTCCTACGGCTTATAGTCCCTCTGAAGTAGATAGAATATTGGGTAATATTCGGGTTAAATTGGGGTTATATGGGAATAATGGGAAAGAACATGGAAGCCACTATAATGGGTTATATAGGATATAGAATATGGGGTATATGGTGATCTTAATATAATATACCCAAAGCCATATTCCATCTAACTAAGGGTGACTATACTCCTGGGTGCCTTTCCACATGGTTTGCGAGGGTTTTCGTGTTTGGGGTTACTGCAAGGATCATTAAGGGATAATGTAGGAAGCGATGCGGAGGATGAGACGCGGCGGGTTTCAGGCGGATGGTCCTCGAAGCCCGTATTAGCCTCAAACCCGGATCCCTATCCCTGGTCCTATGAGCAATCTCACAAATCCCCACTGTAATCCTCAAATTGTTTTTAAAAAGGGGAGTACTTGCAATAAGTAACAGTAATCTTCGAAATCGTAATAACCGCAATAAAGGGGCTCTCAGGTGAACTGGCTCTCTGAACTTAAAAGCTGAACCCCTAGCTGCGACATCGGTGTCTCGGCTAGCCCCTTCTTCATTTGGTGGCCCGCACAGTATCTCACTCTCTTTACTCGTGATCATGGTTTGCGAAGCCTTCACAACAAAGCGCAGATGAAATCCAGGACAGCCAACTCCAAACTGCATGGAAATCCCTTAACCGAAAAACCCTAATCCCTAAACCCTGATCCCTAAACCCTTCTCCCTACACCCTAAACCCTAATCCCTAAACCCCAATGAGGTATCGGAGCCTCAGGCTACTCGGCCGCGGTGATGGCTGCAGAGCAGAGAGCCGACTACACGCGCGAGGGGCGCATCCTTGAGGCAACTCGGGTGGGCAATGGGGCTTTGGGGGGTTGAATTAGAGGTTGGGGCTGTAGAGGTTTAGGGAACCACTATGCCAAGATATAGGGCTACGAAACAATTTGGGCTCCTAAAGTTTAGAATGTGATGCATACATACATATATATATATATACACATATACACGCGCATCATATACACACATACACACCTTCAATATACATATGTATATATATATATACACATGTGTGCGTGCTCAGACACCTGCAAGACTTCAAAGAAAAGTTCAAAGGGACGGATTTGAGGGGCAGAGGAAGGAGTTAGGCAAGGCTTGCCTGGAAGCTGTCAGGGTTCTTCTTCTTGTGCCATAGTCTAAACCCCTTAAAGGGTGATATATAAGGGGTTATAAAGGGGATCATATAGGCTTATATAGGGCTTCGGGTTCAGTTTAGGGTTCAAACTCCACAAAGGGCCTTATATGTGTGATTATATTGGGGACTACTACAGGGTTATTAAGGATGCTGGGAGTTTAGATTATGGCTGTTGTGAAGCCTCAAAGCCTGTCCCCTAGAGGCTTCCATCCCACTTGTTGTGGAAGCTGCCAAATGCAAAGTGCGTCTACACGACGCACATCTGTATATGTACTTACCTGAAAAGCTCATATTTCGGAGGTCTAGAAGTCTTAATCCTTAGAGCTCCTCAACCACAAGCCCTAAAGCCTAACTCCTCAACCCCATGCATTGAATCTCAAACCAAGAGTCGGATTGAATCCAGGCTATGGGTGCAGAGGCAGAGGACAGCCGCATGCGCACAGTAGCTCCGCTGCAATCCCCAGGGGACCGTGCAGGTCTGCGATTTTAGAGTTTAGGGTTCAGGGTCAAAAGGTTTAGGCAAAAAGGGTCAAAGGATTTCCACTATTTATTTGGGACATGGACCCTTCCGGAATGGGACTTGCTGAGGATATAAGACTTTCTCCTAAGAATTGAAGCGTGATTTCCTGGGGTCCTCATAATAAGGGTTATACTCTATTTGGATCTGTTGTGACTTTCTGTTGATATGCGGGTTGTTCAAAAGAGGGGCACTCTGAGGGACCCTGGAAATTTTTTCTGGGACCTACGACACACTACAAGAAATTCTTGAGGTGGCTGTACTGGTTTCCCAGAAAGCTCTACATGAGTAGTATTTTTTGGGGGATACTATGGTACCCGCCTCGCCGACATGACCGACTGACGTCCGTGAATAATATTATGGTACCCAATATAGAGTAAGATTCTATCCTCCTTTTGGGGTATCGTATTCTATATAAGGAATATTATCTTACTAGGTTCAACCACAAAAAAGCACTACTCACATGAGCCTACGCACCCTGAAAAGCCTATTGCCCTCTACCACTTCCTTGGCAGAGGCTGTGGCCAACTCCTTAGCCATCCGTCTGTGGAAGCGTGGGATGCCAAAAGAGGCCGCGGTTTTTCCCTGGGATGGGCTTCCTCTGGGTTTTAGGGTTTAAGGTTTAGGTTCCAGCAGTCGCCCAAGGTCGGGTTGAAAAAAAGGGTTTAGGGTAGAGGGCAGAGGGTAGATGGGGTTAAGGGGTTAGGGATAATGGAAAGTCAGATGGAAAGAAGATGGAGCATGAAATGGGAACTAGGGTTGTCTAGGGGCCATGCAGGCATAACGTCCTCCACCATCCTATTCCAGACTGCCACCCCCTTGACATTCAACATTCCTTTTGGCATGCTATATATCCTGGCAACATGTAACATTGTCGGGGTGTGGGTTCAATATTGGAGGGAGGGGTTTCTGACGTTATATCAGGGAGGGCTTGATTTTGGGTTTTATTGACTGTATCTACAGGGCTCCTTAAGAATTTATATGTCGTTTGTGCAATTTTGAGGACAGTAATTGAAGATCCCTGGTGCAACAATCCGGGGTCAAGATTTGGAAATGAGCTGTATAATTTCTGTATTCAAGCCCACATTGGGACCGAAACCCGAAACCCACACCACCGAGGAGCCAGCATCAGGGTTTTGTTGAGGCACAGAGGATTCATCATAGGTTCCCCTAACCCGCCTAGATTCCATAGTATTCGCCTTAATTTGCCTTATAAACCCTAAGCCCTGAACTCTTATAACTCGTGAGAGGAAACGAGCCCTGCAAAAAAACAAGACTCCTACATCTTAGAGAAAATTTCCGATAAACCGTACCAGTATCGTTCAATGACCCTCAAAAAACGGCGGAGCCTTCGGGGAATCCTCAGCGCTGTCCAGAGTTTCCTCCGTGGGTGGGCTCTTCAACTCCGGGCGATCAGAATGGTCTCTGTGGGGTTCAGTAAGGGTCCACTCTAAAGCGGTTATAGTTATCGCGTAGGGTTACATAGGGGTGTACATAGGAATTCTTAGAGACTCCAAAACTGGTAGAGGCTCCAGATTTTGGAGAGTTCTTCTGATAAGGATATTGTAAATTGATGTTTCCATTGAGGGCGGTGAATTCATGGAAAGCCGCATGTCACGGTGTATCTCAATCCCTACATATCCCACTTCTGTATGACGTAGCCATGTTTGCACCCTAACCGCACAAACGCTCATGATCAGGGTTTCTTAGTTACCATGCTTGCAAGAGGCCTTCGCTGTTCTGCGGGCTCTGAAAAACTCCCAGCCCCGGCAGCCGGGCTAATTTCGAATGGTTTTTGTGTTCAGGGCTATATGATAATTGTAAGTGACCCCCCAAAATGGTACCCCTGATTTTGGGAAACCCCAGGGTACCATTTTGGGGGTCCCTTTAATAAAGATTTTAGTGGATTTAGGGGTCTATATTGGGTCCGCCTACTAAAGCACGACCTGGTACTATCCTATGATGTCCCCAATGGCCAACAAGAGGCTGTAAATCATGTGGCTTGGGTGTGCATTTTAGCCATGAGAATCAACAAGTCCAAGCCGTCATATCCTAATATCCCTGCCTGGGTTGAGGATTTAGGTGATGGATTTTCAGAGCTTCTAGAGGGTTTTCTACTACATGGCTACATGGCAGTCGCATTCAGAATTGAGACGTAATCTGGGTTAGCATGGGGAGTCAAGAAGGAATCTCAGGGGAACGGGAACCTTGCAGCAGCAGACAGATGGATACAGTAAAAGCTGGAAGAGCAAGAGCTCTGGCATCGCAACCCCTGTCTCAAGCTCTCAAAACCTTCACTTCAAGGTCAACACTTCCAAGCTCCGAAGGAAGAGTACATGGATATTGGTCTAAATTCCCTATAATACGGGGTCCTATATTTGGGTTCCCATCATAATACGGGGCCCTATATAAATTTCCCCCATTTTGGGAACAGTAATTTAGGGAAACTGCCACATGTATCTCCAACTCCCGAAGACGGCATGGGTTGTTGTCAAAATTATGGTCCCTTATTGGGTCCCTATTATAATACAGCACCTATTGTTTAGGGTACCCAAAAAGGGACCATAGTTTTGATAACCACCCACATGTATCTCCAACTCCCCAGACGGAAGCCTAAGACATTGCTCTGGCTCTGAGGCGGTGGTCTGTCGTGCCTGGTCATCGGTTTAGGGTTTAGGGTTTAGGGTATATAGAGATTTTTACAGCTTTTCTGAATTCTCCAAAGCGCACAAAGAAGGATTTCGTTTCGTTAGCATTTGAGAAGCGCCCCAGCAAACAAGAGTCTCCTGTTTTGTCTACCGGTCGATTCATTCGCCCTTAACTTTTTTAAGCTGAGGCACCACCCTACTGTTATACATTATAACAGGCTATAGTATACCATCATATACTATAATATACCATATTAAACTATAGTATACTATAATACTATCAAATGAAATCTTGGAAGCGTGAACCTTCAAAGCCGAGATGCGAAAAACATATCACGTCAGCTGACATTGCATGCAAGGCAAACTCATGAAAACTGTTCCTAAACATGTTGGAGCCAAAGGGGGAGCGGGGGCGTTATCCCGAATTAGAACAATTCCCATGAAATCTCCTCTAATGGTATTGATGTTCACTCCCCCGCTCCCTTAAGTTCCTGTCAGACAACTCAGGTTTCTTCGGCGCTCGTGGCGCGGCTGGGTGCTGAGTGCGATGCGTTAGAGGAGGCTGCTGAGAATCTGGGCAGGCTTCAGGGTTTAGGGCTTAGGGAGAATCATGGAGAGCTCCCAGGGAGCCTGAGCGTAGAATCAAGGTGTACTGGCTTCTCCGTGTACTGGGAGTCCACAAGGGCCAGAGGCCTCGTACGTTTTGACTTGGATTCAGCAGTACCCTCTCTCTTGCACCCCAAGATGTCCCGTCACAAGAAAACTCGTGCTTCCAGAAGGCACGAAAGGTTCATGCCAAGCAGGCAAAACCGCAAACCCTATCAACCCTATAAACCTTAAACCCCTCAGCCCCAAAACCCGAAACCCTAAGCATCTGGACTTCATGGTTCAGGGCTTGGGATGATAAAGAGTTTCCTGGGCTTTAGAGGCTTCAGATGCCCTCGGCATGACGCTGCTCTTGAGATGTAGGATCTTTTATCGAATAAAGTAGTTTGCACAAGGATTCCAGAGTTGTACCCCTCAGGTTGCACATCTGGGCTTTGGAATCCTTGTAGGAAATCTAGTGGGCTACGTGGGTTCATGTAATAGCTATATTGGGGCCATATTGGGAAACTCGGTCAGGGGCACAACCTCAGGGGTACGACCCAGGAGCTCTTGATTCCATTTGTCATATGAGGCACGGTCACCATGAGCCTTACCAAGCTGAGGGTGGACATAGGGGCCCCTCTTGTATTGTAGTGTATTCCCAAATAGAAAGCCAGGTCCATTAATTTCTGGGGGAATATTGATTCTGACTCATATGGGAACCCAAGCCTAGACAATGCGTAGTCATTTTGTCTTATACGTTGCTTCTTCGTACAGTGATGGTACAGAACGACACGCACTTGAGAGCCCTGTTCAAAGCCCATAGGCCTTTCCTCTTAACTTGCTTGGTCCCACAAGATCCTCTGCTAGTTTTTGGAGCAACTTGCTGTTCAGCTGGACCCTGAATCCGTGCAGCTGAGGATCCTCGAGGGCGCTGGCGGCTTCGACAGCCAGGACTGGGTTAGGCTCAGAAGACGCTTTCGGGGGGAATCGGAAGATAGTCATTGGCTCATAAGGGTGATAGCACTTGAGGCTGAGGTAGCAGAAGAAGTGGCTGGAGGAAGAGGAGTAGGACGAGAAGGGAGGAGGAGGAGAGGTAAGAGGAGGCGGCAGCAGCAGCAGCAGCAGCAGCACTACCAACCTGATAACAGTTGCAGAAGAACGGGTGTTTGCGCGAATCTCCTTCAGGGGCGTGGGGCCTGAATCTTCCGTCAATTTTACCATCAGAGAGCACTGTGTGTTCAGCAGTCTGTTCACAAGAACAAGCACGAGGAGTGGGAGGCGCCGGTCACCAGCGGCATCCATCCCATGGCGGCCACACGCCAGAACGAGGGGAGCCACGCGTACACGCGGGTGTCTTGGCTGAGCCGATGATGTTGCAAGAGCAGAGTTGGCTGTATGTTCTATATATAGACATATGAAATTTGAGGTGAGTTGCTTGCAGGGGGTCGCGTTCAAAACTTAACTCCTTGCCGTTGCCTTGTTATTTTGTTTGCTAGTCAGCTGCTAGTCCTATAGTTAATGTATGGAGCCACGCGCGAAGAAGACAAACAGTAATCTCCATCTTCACAACTTCTCCGCTCCACCACAAATTCCAGGGATCCACCTTTTCTGAAGTAGACATGATTTGGTAGAATTTACGGCAACTTTTAAGGCCCAAAGTAAGTATCAAATTTATTTGTAGACTTTAAGGCCCAAAGTAGGTACCATTTTTAGACTTGCATCCCCAAGGGGCAATAACAGGATCCTCCATGCGAGCATCGGCTGAGCTTCAGCGTTGGGATGTAGGGGTCTTAGAGTGTACACGCAATTGGTGCATGCAGATCAGAGACTACATGCAGGGCCCTGGGATGTGTACTTCCTATCCGGGCCCCCCACCCACTTGTAGTAATATACCCCCACCCACTTGTAGTAAAAATATGTTATATGGGTGGTTGTTAAAATCAAGGTCCCTTTATGGGTACCCTAAATATTGGGTGCCATAATATAATAGGCCTGTCTGCCCAGGCTCTAAAGGGGGGTTAATATGGGACTACCTAGGGAGACAGGGGTTATATAATGACTATATAAGGGTTATATATGTCAATGGGATTAAGGGTCCCTATTAGGGGTCCCTCCTAAAGCCCCTAGACAGGAGCAGGACGGGAGCTTGGGGGCTTGGGGGGAGAACTAATCAT